ACCAATGGAACTCATGCCCGGAGTACAACTGCCATCTGAATTACTTCTTTCAGACCACTTTTATTCTTTTATTTTTATTATTATTTTATATTATGATTATTTGACATGGAGTCTGTGCTTTGTCACCAGGCTAGAGTGCAGTTTGGGCATAATCTTCGGGCTCACTGTAACTCTGCCTCCCGGGTTCAAGTGATTTCTCCATGCCCTAGCGCCTCCCAAGTTAGCTGGATTACAGGCGATGTAAAAAACCACATGCCCCATGCTAAATTTTTTTTTTTTTTTTTTGAGACGGAGTCTCTTGCTCTGTTGCTCAGGCTGGAATGCAGTGGCATGATCTTAGCTCACTGCAGCCTCCACCTCCCAGGTTCACACCATTCTCCTGCCTCAGCCTCCCAAGTAGCTGGGACTACAGGCACCCATCACCATGCCCGGCCACGCCTGGCTAATTTTTGAATTTTTCAGTAGAGATGGGGTTTCACCATGTTAGCCAGGATGGTCTCGATATCCTGACCTCGTGTTCCAACTGCCTTGGCCTCCCAAAGTGCTAGGATTACAGGCGTGAGCCACTGTACCCTGCCTATTTTATTTTTTGAGACAGAGTCTCACTCTGTCGCCCAGGCTGGAGTGCAGTGGTGCGATCTTGGCTCACTGCAACCCCCGCCTCCTGGGTTCAAGTGATTCTCCTGCCTCAGCCTCCCGAGTAGCTGGGATTACAGGCGCCCACGACCACACCTGGGTAATTTTTGTATTTTTAGTAGAGACGGTGTTTCACCATATTGGCCAGGCTGGTCTCAAACTCCTGACCTCAGGTGATCTGCCTGCCTCAGTCTCCCAAAGTGCTGGGGTTACAGGTGTGAACCACTGTGCCTGGCCAAGACCTGCTTTTCAAATTATACTATGTTGCTTGGGCAAATGGCTTTTAAAATTTGTACTTGGCCAAATTAAAATTCAAGTACATGACACATGGTGAATTTCAGTCACTGATCAAATTCCGGGGCGGGGGAGGGGGTGAAATGTAGTCAAGAGGCTACTTTGATTTTTGATGTTTGACCACTGACAGACCTACAGCCCTTTCCCTGCCCACCCATCATGCAACTGGATAAGAATGTCCATGTGGCCGGGCGCAGTGGCTCACACCTGTAATCCCAGCACTTTGGGAGGCCGAGGCAGGCGGATCACGAGGTCAGGAGATCGAGACCAGCTTGGCCAACACGGTGAAACCCCGTCTCTACTAAAAATACAAAAACTAGACGGGCGAGGTGGCGGGCACCTGCAGTCTCAGCTACTTGGGAGGCTGAGACAGGAGAATGGCATAAACCCGGGAGGCGGAGCTTGCAGTGAGCTGAGATCCGGCCGCTGCACTCCAGCCCGGGTGACCGCTGCACTCCAGCCCAGGTGACAGAGCAAGTCTCCGTCTCAAAAAAAAAAAAAAAAAAAGAAAGAAAATGCTTTTGCGGGCTGGGCACGGTGGCTCACGCCTATAATCCCAGCACTTTGGGAGGCTGAGGCGGGTGGATCACCTCAGGTTAGGAGTTCAAGACCAGCCTGGGCAGCATGGTCAAACCCCGTCTCTACTAAAAATACAAAAATTAGCCGGGTGTGGTGGCGCGTGCCTGTAATCCCAGCTACTCAGGAGGCTGAGGCAGGAGAATCGCTTGAACCCGGGAGGCGGAGGTTGCAGTGAGCTGAGATCCGGCCGCTGCACTCCAGCCCGGGTGACCGCTGCACTCCAGCCCGGGTGACAGAGCAAGTCTCCGTCTCAAAAAAAAAAAAAAAAAAAGAAAGAAAATGCTTTTGCGGGCTGGGCACGGTGGCTCACGCCTATAATCCCAGCACTTTGGGAGGCTGAGGCGGGTGGATCACCTCAGGTTAGGAGTTCAAGACCAGCCTGGGCAGCATGGTCAAACCCCGTCTCTACTAAAAATACAAAAAGTAGCCGGGTGTGGTGGCGTGTGCCTGTCATCCCAGCTACTCAGGAGAATCACTGGAACCTGGGAGACGGAGGTTGTGGTGAGCCGAGGTTGTGCCACTGCACTCCAGCCTGGGCAACAGAGCGAGACTCTGTCTCAACAAACAAAAACAAAAACAAAAACATGACAATGGCATATTCTCACAAGGGAGTGCTTTTTATGTTGGCAACAAAAGTGAATGAACTACCATCCCACCGTTATGCTAATCTTTATAACTGGAAAGGTAGTTCATGATAAACAGTAGTACTCGCAATATACCATCTGCATAAAAAAATAAGCAAACTGTATATATATATACACACACATATGTACACATATATATACATATATACACATTTGTACACACATATATAAACTATATGCATATATACATAGATACATATAAATATACACACACACATATATATATATTTTTTGAAACGGAGTCTTGCTCTGTCATCCAGGCTGGAGTGCAGTGACACGATCTCGGCTCACTGCAAGCTCCGCCTCACGGGTTCACGCCATTCTCCTGTCTCAGCCTCCCAAGTAGCTGGAACTAAGGTGCCTGCCACCACGCCCGGCTAATTTTTTGTATTTTTAGTAGAGACAGAGTTTCACCGTGTTAGCCAGGATGGTCGTGATCTCCTGGCTTCATGATCTGCCTGCCTTGGCCTCCCAAAGTGTTGGGATTACAGGTGTGAGCCACCGCACCCGGCCACGAAATATGTATTAACGTAGGGACACATACATGAGTAATAAAACTATGAAGAAGAGGCCGGGCATGGTGGCTCACACCTGTAATCTCAGCACTTTGGGATGCTGAGTGGGGTGGATCACCTGAGGTCAGGAGTTCGAGACCAGCCTGGCCAACATGGTAAAACCCCATCTCTACTAAAAATACAAAAAAAAATTATCCAGGCATGGTGGTGGGTGCCTGTCATCCCAGCCACTCAGGAGGCTGAGGGAGGAGAATTGCTAGAACTCTGGGAGCGGAGGTTGCAGTGAGCTGAGATCGTGCCACTGCACTCCAGCCTGGGTGACAGATTAAGACTCTGTCTCGGCCGGGCGCGGTGGCTCAAGCCTGTAATCCCAGCACTTTGGGAGGCCGAGACGGGCGGATCACGAGGTCAGGAGATCGAGACCATCCTGGCCTAACACGGTGAAACCCCGTCTCTACTAAATAATACAAAAACTAGCCGGCGAGGTGGCGGGCCCTGAGTATCCCAGCCTACTCGGGAGGCTGAGGCAGGAGAAATGGCATAAACCCGGGAGGCAGAGCTTGCAGTGAGTTGAGATCCAGCCACTGCACTCCAGCCTGGGCGACAGAGCGAGACTCCGTCTCCAAAAAAAAAAAAAAAGAGCTCTGTCTCAAACAAACATACAAAACAAACAAACAAACAAAAAAACCTATGAAAAAGAGCAAGGAAATTTCCTCCCTATAATTTCAGAACACTGGCCTCATCGGAGAGAGGCGCTTACCACTGGGCATTGTTTCAGGTGCGATGTCTGGTGTGAGGGCTTCTCTAAGACTTGGCCAAAGCTGTCATTACACAGCGTCTGCCTTAGAAAATATTTCGACTGTACAGTTGTTGGTGCATTTTCTGAATACTATATATATATATATAATATTTGTATGTGTGTGTGTGTGTGCATATATATATACACACTCTTTTTTTTAAATTTTTGAGATGGAGTCTCGCTCTGTCGCCCAGGCTGGAGTGAGTGGCGCCATCTCGGCTCACTGCAAGCTCCGCCTCCCGGGTTTACACCATTCTCCTGCCTCAGCCTCTGCGAGTAACTGGGACTACAGGTGCCCACCACCTCGCCCGGCTACTTTATTTTGTATTTTTATTAGAGACGGTGTTTCACTGTGTTAGCCAGGATGGTCTCTGATCTCCTGACCTCGTGATCCGCCTGCCTCGGCCCCAAAGTGGGCGAATTACAGGCGTGAGCCACCATGCCCAGCCTGAATATGTTATATTTTACAATAATAAAATACTATGCAGTCAATTAATATATCACAATACCGCATTAAGGGGAAAATATGTCAAATCATTTGAACAATACAGAAAAAAAAAAAAGCTGTTGGTAATACTCAGCATGCACATCCACATGAAAACCCTTTGCGACTGCGAAACGGGTGGGAACTTACATGGCCTGACGGAAGGCATAGTTGAAAGCGATGTTCATCACAGAACATATAAAGGCTGCAGTACTGGGTTCAGCAGGTTGGGCTGATTTCATGGCGAATAAAGAGTATGCCTCAAGTGTTTCTTGTGGGGAACCTATGGCATAACCAGTGATTATGTTTCTCCAGGAATTTCATTTGCAACAGCCTGTGAACCAAAAATAAAATTCTAAGCATTCCCTTCCCCAACCGTCTGAATGGACTTTCTCCTTGGCCAGGGTGCTCTTAAAATTTAACCTGAGAGGCTGGGCACGGTGGCTCATGCCTGTAATCCTTGCACTTTGGGAGGCCGAGGCGGGCGGATCACCTGAGGTCAGGAATTCAAGACCAGACTGACCAACATGGTGGAACCCCGTCTCTACTAAAAATACAAAAATTAGCCGGGCATGGTGGTGGGCACCTGTAATCCCAGTTACTCGGGAGGCTGAGGCAGAATTGCTTGAACCTGGGAGGCACAGGTTGCAGTGAGCCAAGATCAGGCCACTGCACTCCAGCCTGGGTGACAGAGCAAGACTCTGTCTCAAAAAAAAAAAAAAAAAAAAAAAAAAAAAAAGAAGTAAGTCTGGGTTGTCTAAGGGGATGTCTAAGAACTCTCCTGGCTTTGAAATCATTTCTGTCTCTGCAAGGTAACCATGTGGACTAGAGTAGGGCATTCCACTGTCAGGGGTGGGGGTCGTAGATGGATTGAAAGCGTCACAAAGATGTGAGAGGATAGAGGGATTTGTTAATAGGCTTCTTCATAAGCTCTCAGGAGTACAGAGGCGCTGTGTTTTGTGAGCTTGTTAGAGAGCAGATACGGCATGGGGAACACAGAGCTGAAGGAGACATCCTAATGTAAGAGTGTGACTGTCAATTGTGGAGGCAGCTGATAGTGGCAGGAGGCAGGCAGGAGGCAGGCAAGTCATAGGCAGACAGGGGCGGGTCCCCAGTGAAACCCAACCTTCAAGCCGAAGACAGTTTAAAGCCTGAAGGCCAAGCTACAAGTCTTGGATAAATCCACGGACCGGATTGACAACCTCTTCCCATTTGTGAGCTTTCCTGTGATTGATGCCACCCTTTGCTGATTACATATACCTACCCTTCTCTAATTAGTTTTTTGGCACTGTTGTGCCCATCTTTGAGTGGTGCCTTTTATTTATTTATTTTTAGCCTTTTTTGCATACTCACAAACCAATCAGCACATGTTCTGCCTCTGTAAGCCCAGAAAAACCCCAGGCTCAGACAGATTTTGGGACTACCCACCTTCCGGTGGAGGAGACTATCCGACTTCAGGTAGAGGGCTGCCCAACTCGGGTTCCCCTCTCTGCTGAGAGCTGTTGCTCAATAAAACTGTGCCCTGTTCACCCTTCAGTTGTCAGCATAAACTCATTCTTCTTGTACATAGGACAAAAACTGGGGACCCACTGAACAGAGGTACAAAAAAGGCTGTAACATTGTGGACCTCTGTCCTCTGCTGGCACCAGGCAGCTGCCCCATGCAACAGGAAGCAGCAGGGGAGCCAGCTCAGCCCCAGAGTCGCAGGCCAGAGTGGGGCAGTGGGACTGAATGAGCTGTAACACAAATGGGCTGAAACTCACCCAACCACTCACCATGCTACAAGTGATGGGAGGGAGGAGAGCTGCCACATGCTGCAACACCCCCTCTGGGACTTTGGGGTCACAGCACCTCTGAGTTTTTTGGGTGCCACCATGTTCCCGTCATCCAGACATTGGTGCCTAAGGCAGAAGCAGGTCACTGCACACCCGACCCAGCTATGGGCTGAGTGCAGATCCTGTGGCAAATGCAAGGTAAGTGCAGCCCGCTGGGCTGAGGGGGTGAGTGTCTCCAGCTGTGATCCTGGAGCCAAGCAAGGCCCGGGCAGGGACATCACTGGCCATAGAGGCCTCTGGCTGGTGAAGCAGCACCAAAACATCCTGCATCACAGCTACAGCTACAAGATGCAGACAAGGGGGCACGCATGGAGGCATGCCTGGTGCCACAAGGTCTAACTAACAAGAGAAATACACAATGGAATGTATCTGAGAGGGTTGTCCTTTGCCTCTCAGATACCTGCAGCAATTGTTGGGATACCTGCAGCAATCCTATCATTTTCATGGCAATAAAGGTGAAAAGGTTCGTTAAAATTGGCAATTTTGGTAAGCCAAGAGTAGATATGTGGACAGTGCTAATTGTAATAATTCAAAGAAGATCTGGGACGGGTGTGGTGGCTCATGCTTGTAATCCCAGCACTTTGGGAGGCCGAGGTGGGCGGATCACGAGGTCAGGAGATCGAGACCATCCTGGCTAACACAGTGAAACGCCGTCTGTATTAAAAATACAAAAAAATTAGCCGGGCGTGGTGGCGGGTGCCTGTAGTCCCAGCTACTCGGGGGGCTGAGGCAGGAGAATGGCGTGAACCCGGGAGGCGGAGCTTGCAGTGAGCCGAGATTGCATCACTGCACTCCAGCCTGGGTCAGAAAGCAAGACTCCGTCTCAAAAAAAAAAACAAAAAACAAAAAACAAAAAAAACAAAGAAGGTCGATGTCTCTGAGGGGCAGATAATAGGCTCTGAGGCAGATCTGAAAAGACGGCATACAGAGGTTTAGCAAAGGCAGCATAATTAGGAATTCTCAGTGAAAATAGCCAGCTGTTCCTAGAATTATACATGTCTGTTTTATTTGTTTGTTTAACACAGAGTCTCACTCTGTTGCCCAGGCTGGAGTGCAACGGCATGATCTTGGCTCACTGCAACCTCTGCCTCCTGGGTTCAGGCAATTCTCCTGCCTCTGTCTCCCGAGTAGCTGGGACTACAGGTGCCTGCCCCCACGCCCGGCTAATTTTTTGTATTTTTAGTGGAGACAGGGTCTCACTGTGTTAGCCAGGATGGTCTCGATCTCATGACCTCGTGATCCACCCATCTTGGCTTCCCAAAGTGCTGGGATTACAGGAATAAGCCCCTGCACCTGGCCCATACCTGCTTTTATTCTGGGGACAGCAATGGATAAAATTGATTCAAGGTGCCGGGCGCAGTGGCTTAAGCCTGTAATCCCAGCACTTTGGGAGGCTGAGACGGGCGGATCATGAGGTCAGGAGATGGACACTATCCTGGTTAACATGGTGAAACCCCGTCTCTACTAAAAAATACAAAAAAAACTAGCTGGGCGAAGTGGCGGGCACCTGTAGTCCCAGCTACTCGGGAGGCTGAGGCAGGAGAATTGCTAAAATCCAGGAGGCGGAGCTTGCAGTGAGCTGAGATTCGGCCACTGCACTCCATCCTGGGCGACAGAGCAAGACTCCTTCTCAAAAAAAAAAAAAAAAAAAAAAAAAAAAAAAATTGATTCAAGGCATTCTGGCTGAGCTTTGGGTGCCCTGAGATATCTCACATCCTAAGTAGTAACTTTCTGCACCCACTGAAATTTAGATTGCGAGGCTTTATGACCTAATTCAGTTCGTGTCTCTAGGAGAACGAGGAAATCCATAAGACCACCTTGCTTAGCTTGGGCACAAAGAGATTATCAGTATACTGAACAAGAGTAGAGCCTTGGATAAAAGTTACAAGTCTGAGCAAGCCTTAAGGACTTGGGAAAATATTGATGGGGGAGCAACAATATTCCTGAGGTATGCAGGCCATGCCCACTGTCCTCGAAAGAGAACTGCACAGAGGAACTGTGAATCAGCGTGCAAAAGAACGGAAAAGACAGCGGAGCAGAGGTCCATTCAAGCAAACCAGCCTGCATAAGCAGGAACCGGGGTACAAATAGTGGTTGTAAAGGGAACTGTAGAGTGGTGAGGAACTACAAGAATTGTGGCTATTAGAATTTGTAAAATTGGTAAATTTGGTTCTCATCAAAATCAAACTTCCCTTCTTATTTTTACTGGCAAGACTAGGGTGTTAATAGTGGGAGAAGGTAAAGTTAATGGGCACTCTGCTGTAACAGAGTCTAGTATAGATTCAGTTCCTTGTTCTGCATATTGACACAAGAGGGCATTGAGCTATTGGTTGAAAAGGCTTACTCCTTTTCCAGGCAACGTGCACAGTCTCTGTGCTCTGTAGCAATGCAACTTCATTTGCATATGAGGCCCAGAGACTAATTGGAACGTCAATAACTGGAAGTAATTGGAATATCACTTGAGGTTGCATCCTCTTCAGAGGACGCGTCTCAATCAGGGAAAACAGAAAGTGTGAGGTTTGGTCTGAGGTCAAGGGGATAAAAACACCTTTCCCATTACATTGTAAGATGGCATTCAATTGATGTAACAAATCTCTACCTAGAAAGTTTACTGGTGAGGCTTCAGAAACTAGAAAGCTATAATGAGTGTTAATCAAAACTAAGGATATTGGTGTGGCCTGAGACGTGGGTAATGAAACAGGTTGCCTAAAGACTCTGACAGCTTGAATAGAATTAAAAGTGACAGTAGAGATGAGTCCTCTGAGAAGCTGGTAGAGAAAGTCGGACCACTGTCAATTTAGAAGTTTAGTTTCTGATCTTCTATTTTAAATTTAATGGCAGGTTCTGAGGTGCAACTGAGGATTGGCTGGCCTCCATCAATCACTAAGGAATTGGGTCAAAACTCCTGACGCATTTTATATGCTTCCATTTCTGAAAATATTCTTCTATTTAAGAACCAATGGAAGTGCAAACTCTGATATTTATTTACACACCAAATTGAAGAAAACATTCATGTATTATGATTTACAAAAAGTACTGGCCACTTCCATAAGAATCAGTGTTTAAAGGGTCACCATTTAGAAAACAGGGTTCCTGTTAATAATTCTACTCATTTCATACATATTTTAAAATAAAATATGACTGTTTTTGTCTGCTTCCGATAGGATTTTTTTGATTGCTTAAGATAGGGTCTTGCTCTTATTTCCAGGTTGGAGTGCAGTGGCACGATCACGGCTTATTGCAGCCTTGACCTCCTGGGTCCAAGCTATCCTCCAGCTTCAGCCTCCTGATTAGCTGGGACTACAGGTGAGCCTCACCACTCCTGGCTAATTTTCATATATTTTGCAGAGATGGAGTATCTCCCAGTTGCCCAGCCTGGTCTTGAACTCCTGAGCTCAAGGAATCCAGCTGCCTCAACATTTCAAAGTGCTGGAATTACAGGTGTGAGCCTCTGATCCCTGCCCAATTGTTGTTTTTTAAATAAACAATGAATGCCAAACTTTAAAAAATCAACTTGAGGCTGGGCGCAGTGGCTCATGCCTGTAATCCCAGCACTTTGGGAGGCCGAGGTGGGTGGAGGATCACTTGAGATCAGGAGTTTGAGACCAGCCTGGCCAACACAGTGAAACTCCATCTCTACT